CATCTTGGCCGTCCTCTCCATCACCCCCGCGCTTGCCGCCCCTGTCCTCAACTTTGATTCGGATGCCTCTTTAGTCGCCCGTGACCTCGCCGACGAACAATCCTTTGTAGAACTCGTCACTCGCTCCCCTGAACCTGAACCTCTCCCTGAGCCCTTCCCCATTGAAGGAGGATTGGACAATGTGGAGGAGCGTAGGTGGCTCGGTGCTCTCTTCAAGATCGGCAAGGTTGTTGCCAAAGCCGCCCACAAGGGCCACCAAGCTCACCAACGCCACAAGAACCGCCATGGCAGGAGGGACCTCGCCGACGAAGAATCCTTTGAAGAGCTCGTCGCTCGCTCCCCTGAACCTGAACCTCTCCCTGAGCCCTTCCCCATTGAAGGAGGATTAGACAACGTGGAGGAGCGTAGGTGGCTCGGTGCCCTGTTCAAGATCGGCAAGGTTGTTGCCAAAGCCGCCCACAAGGGCCACCAAGCTCACCAGCGCCACAAGAACCGCCATGGCAGGAGGGACCTCGCCAACGAAGAATCCTTTGTAGAGCTCGTCGCTCGCACCCCTGAACCTGAACCTCACTACCATGGAAAGAGGAGCAAGATCGGTAGAAAGTTTAAAAACTTTTTCAAGAAGGCCGCCAAGGGAGTAAGTGTATCCTCTCAAATTCATGTCCACCATCAGGCTGATCGACGTGTGCCTTTTTTTTTGGTAATAGATCGCCAAGGTCGCCAGTTTTGTGATGAGGCGAAGTGATGAGGGTGCCGTCTCCGCTGCCCCTCTTGTCGCCCGCTCTGTTGAGGAACCCATCGAAATTGAGGCCCGCTCCATCGAGGAACCCATCGAACTCGAAGCCCGCGATGTGGAAGAGCTTGTCGAATTGGAGGCTCGTGATTTCGAAGAACCCATGGAACTTGAGGCCCGCGACGTTGAAGAGTCCATCGAGCTTGAGGCCCGCGACTTTGACGAGGTCGAAATTGAAGCCCGTGACGTCGAGGAGCCCATGGAACTTGAAGCCCGCGACGTTGAAGAGGTCATTGAGCTCGAGGCCCGCGATGTTGACGAACCTATGGAACTTGAGGCCCGCGATTTCGATGAGACCGTCGAACTCGAGGCCCGCGACTTTGAGGAGGA